CTGCTCGAATCGTCCTCAGTCGACCTCGTGGAGACGCGTAGCGTTCAAATCGACTTCAAAATGTGCTCAAATGACTCCTTTTTGCATAATTTGCACACTCCCGATGTCGCATCCTCGAGAGTAGACGTATAGAAAAGAGGTAGACACACACACACAGTCGCGCAGGGGCATATTTGCTCTATATTGATGTGTTTCAACCCGTTCGGGTATGATTTGAGGTGAGCTGGGGGTATTCTTTACGCGGGCCCCACATCTCGTAGTTTCTTCCGTTCAGCCCTGGGGGGGGAGGGGGGCGTGAGCACAGAACCCACCATAAAGGGGGGGTGTTAGGGTGGTGGGGGGGGGGGGGGTGGCGTCTTGACACACGGCCCTGCAGGAAGGCGCTCTGCTAGCGGCCTGCGACGCGCCACGCGGCTACGACTAAACACGCGTTGGCCAATCCAACGGTGGCACAGGCAGCGGCGAGGAGAAATGAAACCATGAATCGATTGTTTGAAGATGTCGTGAATCTGGTACTTGTTGTGGCATTTGGACATAAAATGATTCTATAGTCAAACGGCGTGAAAAGCCTTAAGAAAGTCCCTCAAAAGAGTTTTTTTTCTCAGGAAGTTTCTCATAAATAAAACGATATCTTCATGTGTTGATGGCCCTTGTTAGAATAGCGTTGGCTAAGAAAGAACCAATTACACATCCACCCATCTCCCACAAACGTCCCCACACAAACTCCACCTTCAGTCACGTTTTGAGGGATTTATTGTTACTTTTGGAGCGATGTTTAACACACTTACCTGGTCGGGTCTAGTATAAACCATAGTGTGGGTGTTTTTTAAACATGTTTTGTGCTTCACTGGTGGAGGTTTCGGTGGGTGGGGCTCAGTCAGGCACTAGGATGAGCAACCGAAACGTAGCAACATTTCAATCGGGATCTCATGACAGACGCGGGCGGGTTCTTTAAGCGAAGCTGAAGAGACCAAGCTCCTGGACTCGCCGCTAGTTGCCTGGCAACTTGGTAGTGCTGAAAAGACACACCAGGTGTGACTGGTTGGTATGTGAGTGTCACAGGTGCCGGGTGACAGATTTCTTTCCTCTGAACAGAAGCTGTTCCCCCTCTTCTTCTCGCTGTCTCTAAACTATTTGTTCGGATGACGTTTTGAATATATAACCAACCCTTAAGTAGCTTTTTTTAATCCCTGCTGGACAACTCGCTTCTTTTTTTTTATCGCTGGCGCCGTTTATTTGTATCGTGCAACAAGTAAATCCCTCAAAGCCAACGAGCAGACATCTCCTCTAAACTAATGAACTAAAGCCAGGAATGCTTATCTTTTCAATGGGGACCTTCACTAAAAATAATTTGAATTTTCCCGTTTGTGTGACATCGGCAAATCGACGCCTGCGGCGCCGAGCGACGGATGGTGTTCACGCACCACAGAGAAACAAAATTGCACGTATCAAAAATATGTCAAATATTCAACAGCTCGACTGACTTTAAAATTCTCGTCGCATCTCGGCGGGTTCTGACCGCACATTGTGTGCCAGATGGGCCGGCACGGGGGCCTGCTGCAGGGGAAGACGGGGTCGCATCCTCCACCCGCTCGGGCGTTATGTAAGGTTTATTTTTGGGACGTACAGTTCAAACCAGTGTGGGTTCGCTAAGTGGTTGACAGCCAGCCGACCGCTCTCAAGGCTCTCGAGCGCCGAGTGGAATCGGCACAGTTTGACCGAGGGAAACTTCTTCTTCTCCTCCTCCTCCTCAACGTGTCGGACGGGCCGCCTCGCCGGGCTGACAATCACTCGCCCAGCGAGACGTTGCCACGTGGTAGGACGAGCGAGAGCATTTCTGGCGCCGGTGTTGGATTTATTTGCTAATGCCAATTTGAGCAGCTGCGTGGGATTTATTGTGGTGTACTTACAGGTGTTGCCAGCGTGTTTCTTAACCTCCAGGCTTTGGGCCGTTTAAGCTGAACCCGTAGGACGTCCTCTCTGTGTAGTGCTTATGATCCCTCTCTCTCGCTCTCTCTCTCTCTCTGTCTGTCTTCCAAGCCTCTGCTTTAATCCAATATATCTGCGGCATAATAAGCCAGGTGGGTATTTTTAAATGAATAGAGAGAACCACACAGTCCTCATGTGGCACAGCTAATCTGCTGCTCTAAATTGGCTTTTTTCGAAGACATTTGCGGCGTGCGTTTTTTTTGTTTTTGCAGACATGCATCGTGTTTGTGAAGGCTGATCCGATTAGCCTCGTGGATCTAATCGAGGTCTGCGAGGACGCGGAAACTCCCCTTGGACTCTCACGTCCGCCATGCGTGATGATTGACGAGCACTGGGAGTTACTCGCTGGTAGGACCACACTTTTGTTTCTGCGCACCTTGCACAGCTTTACAGGACATCTGTGGGGGGGGGGCAGCAAACAGAGCATCATAAGGTAAAAACGTGAGTCGCATCGATGGCAGGCGGATTAGGAAAGCTCGATGCCCATGTGACCGTTTTGTCCCACTGGCCAAACGTGGTACTGCAACAAACCAAAAGTTCACCAATATGTATAATAGTAAACAAGGTCATTTTCTCGTTCTATCCAATCAGATTTACATTTGCAACCAGCGGGGTCGCCCCCTGATGGCGATTAGAGAGAATGCAAGTTTGAGGCGCATCTACAAGCGTGACAGGTTGCAGGTCAGACGGACATCCGGTCATTGAAGCTAGTAAGCTCGCAAGTTGGCTCATAATATTAATAATAATAGTATTACATTGAGCTTCACGTTGGGCGGGATTTAGTTCCAAACTAACAAACTCGGTTTCCATGTGTGTCTTTCAGATTCAGTTTTCGATGCAATTATTCAAGTCAAACTACCAAAATATAAAGGATTGAAAGTGAGACTAATGTTTGAAGAGAACTGGTTGTTTTGAGCGAATATGCATCAACGGCATGTAAGTGAAACAAATGTGCATGAAGCAACACAAAAAATTCGATTCTGTCGCATTATGAATGGTAAACGAGTTCAATAAGTGTCAAGACGTAACTAAATATGTCTTTCAAAAGTCTCCTCACAGGCTTGTGTCTGAAAGTGTTGGTAGGATGTTGGAAGGACGACTAAACTAAAGAGACTATTGCTGTTTTGTGTGTTGGTGATGTCATCTTTGTGTGTCCTCTCAGTGAGCGTTACCTAGACTCCTTCACTACTCAGTGCCCAGGACACACCCGCTGGAGGACATGCGAGACACGCCGGCTAACTCTCTCTCCCTGATTGATTGTGTCCTTTACGCCCTTTTCGTTGCCGATGTTTCACACAAACGGAAACATTTCACTGAAATCAATAACCAAGCGGATACTAGAACACCGTTAATGTTGGCGAGGAGGGCAGGCAAAGGAAGAACGGCGACCTCTCGCACCCCAATTAAGCAACTTCACATGTGGAACATGAGAACATGATGTCTTTATAACGACAACGCAGCCACTGGGAGCAATGCATGCTGGTCATCTAATCGACGATTTGTCCAAAATGTGAAAGTTTAAACCACGTTTTTTTAAAGGTGAATCGTTTTTGTTTTCTTGTTTTCAACGCAGCACCAATAAAACTAATTAAATTAAATTATTAGATTAAATGAAAAATGGTGAAGATGAATAAAGTATCACAGAAAGAAAGAAAACTAAAAAAAACTAACGGTGACAAAAAAAGAAATATGGTCTCAATGAATTGTTACTTATTCATTATTTTTCAACATCAAATGTTTTACATTTTGTACTTTTTATACCCTTTTAAAATCTTTTTACCTTTTATAAACCTAGTCGATAAATTTAATATCTGTTTACATCTCTAATCCCAACATTTTTTATATCAGTTCTTTTGCACCGAGGTTTTCACACTTTTAAGAAGCTCGGCGGGAACCAAACGTTCACGCTCCGACGGGCTGCGGACTCCCCGCGATTGGCCGGTGTGGATTCTCTACGCCTGGATGGCCGAGGTCGGACTTCACAGGTGGAGGTGCAGAAGAAAAAGGAGGAGGAGGGCTGTGCAGACGGGTAGAGCTCTCACCTATTCATCTACTTCCTAATCTTTCCATGTTCCCGCCTCATGCACCCAATAACTCACCGCCTCTCTTCCACCAGCGACTCAAGGATTGCACACGCGCACACACACACACACACACACACACACACACACACACTTGTCTCTAGTCCGGCTCGTTCACAGGGGAGTCGAGACTAATGAAAGACCAAAATATACACCCGAAAATGTTCTTCTTTACCTTTCCTTGGTGCATACATAGACCGCGTGCAATTTTCATTATGCAGAAAGCATCGCGGTGCAGGTCGATGTTTGCCGTAAATGGGGTCTGGGGATCGCTTTTCTTAACAGCACCTTTTGGGGCATTAGCCAAAGGAGCAGATGGAAATTAAAGTTTCGTTAAATTTGTATGCAGTTTGTATTCCTTTTATTTATTTAAAGAGGAAGCCCTTGGGAGCCCTGGTGGGAGCCACTGTGGGGAGGATTGTGTTAAAAAGTTACCAACCAAACTGTTTATCTCTTACAAAGTTACATTTCCACTGCGCATCATCTGGTTTTCGGGGGATGTGCACTTGCATCCTGCTCTCAATAAGATGAACTAATGGTTGTCTTTGCGACGTTGCCGCCTTTAGGTCATCCCGCCGCTGAGCTCGCGTCATGGGTGTCATGGAAACAGGAAGCCGGGGGAGAAGAAGTAGACGAACCCGTTAACTTCGAATAAAGGCGTCTGTAACCGCGGCCTCAACGCGACGGTTTGATCAGCCAAAGATGTTTTGCGAGGGGAAGATTTTCTATTTCCTGCTACGTCGTTGAGTTTCTCTCATGGTGACTGCAGCTAATAGAGAGTAAATGAGTACAAAACTCTTAATTAAAATAGCTAGTTAGTTGGCACCGACTCACTTGCTCTTTAAGGACGTATAAAAGAAAATTGAACCAAAGTAAAATATGGATAAATGTTGACTGAGGTAAAAGATGACATAAAAGAAACAGAAAACGTCCAAAATGAAAACATCTTTTTATTGTTATACACTTTGTAAAGGATGAGTGCAAATAAAAGAGCCTGTGAATCAAAATCTACTCATCACGAAGCCATGGACCATAAGGCATCATGAAATACAAGCTCTTTGGAGCTAACGTCTACAATACAAGGACGGAATCAAGGAAAAGAAACAACACAGCATCAATGCTTATGCAATTCGGAGGAAATGGAGGAAAAGAAATTCAAATGAACAGAAAACAGAAACAACGGAAAAAACACAACACAATTTGTACATTCAAAATAAAGAAGTCCACAAATTCACAAGGAATATTGATATTATCGCAAGTGACGATAAAACATAGTCTACAATCTCTTATGTACACTTGGCACTAATGTTAAATCTTTGATTGTTGTCCAGTCAGGTCGTCGTCTGGCATGTGCACAACTATTTAAATGCTAGTCTAATCTTTTATATGATCCATAAATACCTGAAACAATCATCCAAACAAAGCCGCTGAAAAGTTCTGCAAAGCCTGACGTAAAACTTCATTAGGTATCGAGATCAAACTGCTCAATAGACAACGGTTCATCAGAAAAATGCTCACATAACGTTTTATATATATATTTTGCAGAAGGATTTTTTTTTTCATAACAAGAATCAATCTTTGATCGTCCTTCTCATGCACTTTAAAGTTGTAAACAGTACAAATATAAATGATCCACTTACAATATTTGAATCCCAGCATTTCCAAAATAGACAGACAGACTCCAAAAAACAGCAGCAGATTGTTTGTATGCATTCTCCAACACGGGCAGATGTGTATATGATGAGGTGGGAAATGTGTATTTACCATGATTGGATTGTCTCCATGTTTTCCACCGGATCTCCAGTGATTCAGGATCACGTGGCTGATTCGCGATTTCATTAAAACGCACGATTAAAATATATTGTGATGTATAGTGCGAAGTAGAAAAGTGGCCTGGGGGAGGGAGGGGGGGGGGGGGGCATCTGATATGTCTTTTCTAAAATGTTAAAGGGAAAGATTTAAGTTACTTACTAAAAGGGTCAGTGTTTCTCGGCAGTGTTAACACTCTTCTCTCACACATCTTTACATTTTCCTCTGTCAATTTAAGGTGAAGATGCAAAAAATCTAAATAAAAAAAGCTAATGCGAGGTAAAGTCAGCTTTTGCTCAAATATTACGTAAAAAAGTGGAATTTAACACTTGATCAGATTTGAGTTACGCCGTGCGGTCGCTGCAACCTTCTCTTATTTTCTTTCGATTCCCCAAGAGGCAGGTGATCATTAATCGTCATCGCCTGCACGACACGGCCTGGTTTTTGGGCTGCGACTCAACAAACAGTTTTTTTCTTTACAACCGTACAGCTTTGGCTAATTTACAACATGCACATGGTGTTATTCGCCAAATCCTCCAATTAACGATACTAATGTGGCTAATGGAGGCAAACTCAATCAATGAGCAAATTCCCTTCTTCCTCATCTCTAACAATAGCTTAGAATTTGAGCTAAATGTTAAACCGAGTTGTCAGTAGTTTTGCCTTCATCGTTACTCTCGACTTTCTACGGTTAGTTACACACTCGATGGAATTCACTCCATCTTTAGTGGTCCGACAGTCACATCATTTACTTGTGTGCATCCAAATCCTTCCCAGACCCATTAGCAACGGGACGGAATAAAATAACTGAAATGAATGACTACACAATCGTTTTAGATTTAGTATCCGTCTCTTTTGTGTTCTGTATTAATCTGCAGCTATTTAAAAGGAATATTCAACATTTGTTCCTGGTAAATGGGGGCTCAGTGACAGCGTTTCTGAAGGGTAATTGGTTCCTCAGCGTTTCACGGCGTACATTTCAGTGTCAGCGATTTCACAGAACAGCATCGGGTGGAGGGGTGTCCTGGTTGTGACACCCCTCCCCCACCCCCGCCTTCACACCCCCTCCCCCCCAAAAGGCCATCGTTCAAGCGACTCGCTTATGTTCACAGACAATATTCGAAAGCACACGTTGAAAAGAACTCTCTTTTCGACGTCAAAGAACGATGCCGACGCGTCCCACAAACGGGGACGCCGGCTTCTTCACATTCAAGTGGTGCAGTGTCAATAAGAGGACATTTTTCTCACGGTTGAATAAAGCTTTTTGTACAGACAGCCACACATGAGAGACCATGAGGTAAAACTGACGGAATGCTCTACACAGTCGACAGACATAAGGAATGGAAATAAGACGATGCTGTGAAAATATACAATGTGCAAAAGCAAGACATGAAGGAGAGGGGGGGGGTTGACATTTGTTCTCAAACACGTGCTTTTTCTTTTCTTCTAAAGTCCAGAATGATGCGATCAGTCGTAAGTTACAAGCAAGGTACATCCAGGAAATAAATGAAAGATCGTGAAGGTCGAGTCAATAGTGAAAGATAAGAGGGGAAAAATATCCAAAGAAAACAAACAAAGAAAATATGAGTCCCGACTGCTTTGGGAAGCTCGGCCGGTCCGTACACACACATGCCAACGTCCCATTAAGTACACACAGCACGGGCAGTTTTCATCACTGGGCTGGCTTTTGGATTCAGTGCATTCGTTAAGGAGGAGGTCGGTTATGGCGGCGGTTTATTTACTTGTTAATTTCCTCTTTGAGTTGTTAGTGTCCCTATAGCTCATTTGACATACTCAGCTGACTTCCAGAAGTGCCCCGGGTGGGAAAGGCGACGATTCCGTTTCGGCAACTTTTCCAGCAAATCGACCAGCTTGGAGAAGCTGGGCCGCTCTTCCTGCTGGTACGCCCAGCACAGGAGCAGGATGTCCTGCAAGGGATGCACAGACAAGAGCCCCTGTAGCCGCTTGGCCATAACATACATCCCTAAAACGTGTATTTAGACTTTCTTAAAAGTTATGCAAGAAGAGGCGACCGGGGCGAATGACGACGTCATTGTGCAGCAAGAAAAACATCCTTAGTCCTCAAAGTGACAGCAGCTAAACCCAAATATCCGAAGCACGCGGTGAGTGTCCTAAGCGAAGGGTTTTCACTTGGATTGAGTGCAGTGACTCATCAGGGGGTGCAGGGACTCTTTTAGTACGCGGCCCCTAATGTTTGCCGGTGACCTTCACAACCTTGCATCCACTCAGGAGACTCTGCATGCGGAATGAACGGCCGTTGGAAGGAAAGGCCAATGCCCTCCTGGGGGGACAGGTGCGGTTGTCGTGGGGGGGGGGTGGGGGGAGCAAAGTGACTGAAAAGCGCTGATCCAACACGCTTTGTTACTCTAAGTGCACGATTTGATGGCAGTTTTTTAATGAGCTGAAATCCATTCATGAACTAATATATTTTATTACCACTAGCAACATTTAATAAACTACTCTTTAATTAGACAGTGAATTATCTTTAAAAAAGCCTTATGACCATTACTGGCTAAAATGTTCCTTTGTTCCTGGGGATCCGGACCGTTAAAAGCAATAATCAACATCCATTCAGTGGATTTCAGTCGAGGATTCAGCGCCATTGGACTGCAGTTAGAAGCAAAGGGCCCTTACCGATATCTCCTTCCCCATGCCCGTTTGGGACAGGTTGGGCTTCATCCCGCTGCCGATCTGCCATATGATCACCTCCGCCGGCTGACTCTTGTAAGGCCACTCGCGTGCGTGTAACTCGTACCAGACGGTGCTGTGAGGAGCAGAGGAGCAGAGGAGCGGTCAGCGGGTCGTCCGCCGGGGAGAGAATCGCGCCGCGGCTCGAAAAACACACGCGTGCGTGGAGGGTTCGCGGCGACAAACACCGCCAGGGGCGAGAGAGCGGCACGCCTTTAAAAATGAGCGGTTTTCATTCTGCTCCGACACGTCGAGTTTGAGTAGCATAAAAATAGCTCCTAGCCAGGTGTAGAGGGGGTGGTGGGGGGGGGATATGAATATGCAGGACGTCCTTTGGGGTCACCTCCAGGTAACTCGAGAGGTAAGAGAGCAGCTGGACGTGGGGGGCCGGCGCTTCACTCCAGAAGCCCCATATGGGAGACAAACTAAAAATGCAATTATTTATTATCTTCCACCGAATTCATTTGAAGTTAATGGAATGTTCTCGTTGCCAACAGCGTGCACAAGGCAGGTGGAAGCACTAGCCTTCACTGCGGCGGCACGCCGGACATAAAACCGACTCCATCAACCCCCCGTGCAGCCGAATGAGCCTCTCCGGTTGCATTTCAATGCCTACTTGTGTGCCCCTTGACTCCCCACATCTCCATCATTCCCAAGGGTCCACAAACGGGATACGTGCCAAGTCAGGGGGCTTCGCTGTTCCAGGCATAAGTGGCGTCTCTTGTCCAAATCAGATATCATTTCAGCAATTAAGTTTTTGCATTTTAAATCCTTCTCTCGTTAAATGGACAGAAGTTGGATATCTAAACTCTGACAATAACGCAAAGTAAAATTGTCATTGAGACGATCGGGGATTGTTACATTATTGGAAATCTATAATGAGATCTTAAAAAAACAAGTTAATGAGAGCCGCCTCTTCACTAAAAGTTTAAGGACGTTCTGTGAAAGAAGAAAACTATTTAATGAATTCACGCAAACATTCGGGGGTTTGCAAAGCCCCTCCTCGGCGTCGTCTGGACAAACAGGTAGACGACACCTACCCGAATGCAAAGACGTCTGACTGTTTGGAGAAGGGGAGCTTGTCCTCCTCGGTGTCCGGAGAGAGCTGCTGGATTATTTCGGGGGCCAGGTGACACAGCCAGCCATTGGGGATCCGCAGCTTGTCTTCTCTCCGGCTGCAGGAGGAGAGTTTTTAATGAAACGTCAGAGAAAACTTTGGGGTTCTACAGAGACTTTCGAGGGGCGCCCCGTCTGCGATCTCTGCTACAGACGAGAGACGATGTCCGTGTCTGAATGAATGAACGCGTTTATTAGTCCAAAGTTACGGGGAATTGTTAAGCAAAAATATACGTGCACGTTGACAAGAGCTGCACCATTAATTATCCTATTATTTGTTTCCAACCCTGGACTGGTGTTTGTGTAACTATTGCGTTGACCTCCTGGGGTCTTGTTGTCATGGCGATGCCGCCAGGTAAACAACTTTACAACATGTTAATTAGTGGGTGGATTTTTAAAAACTTTTAATAAAGCTATTGAATATATATCACATGTTCAAAAAATAATAAGTGGGCCGTGACATTGTGCATCATTTTAACATCTTTCCAACTTTTTAAACGCAAAATACAACTGGTACTGAAGCCAATTCAGCAAAGTAATCTGCCAATTAGCAAAATATTCCTGCTGCTCCAAGAGATGTAGGAGATTTAATAAATGTAACATTGTATTCAGTTTAAACCTTTTAGACGCCTGTGATTTAGACAGACTCAATGCCTCACGCATCGCGATACACACTGAGATGGATGCTATTTGCTGCCACGTTTACCCAAAACCGCTCTAACGAAACTCCTCTACCGCCACAATTCACCTGCCAGCCTGCAGAACCCCGGATATGGTGAAGAGTCCAAAGTCGGTGATGACGATCTTGCCGTTGTCATAAAACACGTTCTTGGACTTCATGTCTTTGTGTAAGATCCCCTTAGCGTGGAGGTAGCCCATCCCCTGGGGACGGACAGACGGACAGATGTGACTCCTCTGTAATAGGAAGTGCTCTGCAGAAGCTCTGAGTGGTTTTACCTTGACCATCTCCTGCGCGATCTGCCTGGTCTTGTTGACGTCCAGGACAACCTTGGCGTCCCGCACCACAGAATAAAGGGTCCTCCCTTTGCACAAGCTGAGGAAGGCGACAAAGGGCAAGATTTCAAGTCGCGGATTTGACTGAAACACGTCTCATCACTCAGGTCGACCCCCTGGGATCACATTCTGCTTTGAGCGGATTAATGGGACTCAACCCGAGTCCCGTCCCGAGGTCCTGTAGATTGATGTGATCATTTTCACATCTCGAATGAACAATGAACTTCATTGAGGTATCGCTGCTGACTCGGCGAGCGGCAAAGACAACGAGGGGGAAATGCCTCATTGTTGCCGTGCATAATTCAACGAGGACCACCAGCGTAGAAACGCTTCTTTCTTTTACATCTCAAACCATATAAGAGGAGACACGTAATGAAACAGGACCCACGTACTACAGAAGCTGTTCATTCTTCACCAGATGTTTGTTTAATCTGTTAGACGTTGCAGCCCCAGAACGCAAGTGTGAAGGTCGCTCGCGCACGCGTGTGTCAGCGACTTCTGAGAACGCCGGCATTCTGTCGGGGGGCCGAGGCCGTTTAACACGGTGCCGCGCCGAGGTGGTGTGATATTCCTTGAAGAGGGGGGCCGTCACAGAGGCGTATAAATAGACCCCCACCCCCCCCCCAACGCTTCGCACCTGAAGCCCTCTACCCCGACTGCGCCACACGGGTCACCGACAAAGCCCGCGGAGCCGCCCGGTTCACATGCATATTCATGGCGGCCTCCTCGGGCTCCGTTCGGCGCGTTGGCCCCGGCGCTTTTCCCGTGCACGCGGAGTCTCTCGTGGCGGCAATTACCGCGCTGCCCGAAAGCGAACGCGAGGTGCAAACGCGTAAGACACAGAGGCGGCGGTTTGTGATGAGGCCGCCTCGCTGGAACCTCATAGCGCTTATTAGCCGTGGGAAAATTAACGCCGCCGATGACCCGGCAAAAATCGATCCGCCGCCACTGGTGACAAATAAACGATCGATATTTACGCTTTTACTAATGCAGCCTAAAAGAAAAAGAAACTCAATAAACCAAATGTAATGTTACACTTTTGCCCTTTAGGCTGCTCGAGTGTGAGGAACTTTTTTTAAAAAGTGTGACAGCAGAAGCAGAGCCACCTGTTGGAGGTCATTTTCTGTCCCTCTGGCCAATCAGGATGTTCCGTCCGCTCCCCTGCGCTCATGACCATTTCAGCTGGAATAAACAATCGGATCCCAATCAGTCAGCTTGTGTTTTCAATATAAAACAGCCGCAGTGAATGTGATGGAAGTCGGGCAGGGAGATTGTCTTTGTTCTCTTAACGGAGAACAAAACGCATTTACAAGAGAAACAAAAAAAGGGGGAAATTATCATTTTCTTTTTTGTTCACAGCCTGTGTGGATGACAGCGGCGGACGGCCGGAGATCCAAATAATTTCCTTTTGAACGTTATTAGCTGGAGCTTTTCCTCGTGATGTTCCTTCACAAAAGCACAACCCTGTTTCCTTTGTTACAAACTCCCCAAGAACTGGGAACATTAACCTGTGAAATAATTAAAATTGTACAATGTGAGAGACTTCATTCTAACTGTGATGGGGACGGGGGGGGACGCTCAATTTGAAAATACCAATGTGGATATATTTGCTCATGTTGCGCTGTAAAAGTTTTGACATGTTTTATACACTTCAATCATTTCGATAAATGGGTCCTATCCTTTGTGATATCAGAATAAATCACCGGTGTATTTTTTTTTGCCTTTTCCTTGGACAGATTCCACAGAATGTTCTTCCGCTGAAGCACGTCATCTGTTCAATTGAAAGAGTATCACCAAAAAAATGAAATCAGTATGAAAACCAACATGTGCTGGTTGGCTTGGTGTGTTGCCCCCCGGACACCAATGTCACGGCAATTAATTAAGGAGTTTCTTAGAATATATAACTTCAATTACAACCCCTGTGCAGTTTACACAAGTCAGTTAAGTCATCGGGGGCGAATATTATCCCGATCGTTTAAAATCCCTCCTTTAAAGACGGATCTCCAGTATTAAGAGGCAGCCCGTCCGTCGCAGCTCCGTGACTCCTGCGTATTCAAAAATACGCGGACCGTGGACAGTTGTCCCGCCTGTCCTCACCTGGTGATGATCGCCAGGTGCGGCGGGCTCATGCAGGCGCCCATGAACAGCACCACGTTCTCGTGGCGGGTGTTGCGGTAGGCCATGACCTCCCGCTTGAAGGCCTTGAGCTGGTCCTCGTTGTCGCGCTCGATGTCGATCAGGCGGATGGCCACCTCGCCGTGCCAGCGTCCGTGGAAAACTTTGCCAAAGCGCCCCTTGCCGATCATCTCGCCGATCTCCAGCTGCTCGATGGGGATGTCCCACTCCTGCAGGAAGATGCTGGTCTGGCTGGCCTTGCGCGGGAAGTTTCGGGCCGACAGGAGCGACAGGTTCATCTCCTCGAACTCGTCGCCGGAGTCCTCGTCGTTGCACTCCTCGTTCTGGGGAGAATCAAAGCCGGTCGGCGCGTTCGCATGAAGATGCTCTTATCCGACATGAGGAGTGTTCAAACATTCTACCAGGCAGTCAAATGCTTTTATTCTAAGGATTACAATGTGCCGAATGTATAAAATAAATATATATTATATTTTTACAGTATTCTTTATGTGTTCATTCATTTTAGTCAACTTCTAAGCCAAACATTACACGGCAATTTCTTTCACCTGCATATTTATGCACTGAGAATCAGAATAGAATTTAGTGATTCATCTGAATTATCACGATTTTGGCTCCGGTTTTGGCTTTGCTCTCCACATAGTGAACATACGGCTCCAGGTTGTTCTGACCCCCCCCCCCCTCTAGAGGACCAGCTGGTCAACCTCAGAGTACGTTGACAGCCGGGTCCTCTGAGGTGCAGTTGTCGGCGTAGAGGGAGAAGAGCAGTGGGGGGGAGGGGGGGCACACATCCCTGAGGGGGGTGGGCGTGGGGGGGGGGGCAGTGCTGATAGTCCGGGTGCTGGAGGTGATTTTTTTCACCGGCTGCGTCCTGTCTGTCAGAAGGTTGCTGACAGGTGAGGTCAGGCCGACGGGCCTGTGGACATTTAATCCTGTGACGGAGGATTCCTTGGGTGGAGGGAGCGGGAGGGGGCTTCAAACAGCTCCAGTGATCGGTTGGAGATCAGCGTGAGGAGGGAGGGGGGGGGGGACTTTCAGGCAGCCTTTCTGTGCTGGCCTTCTCAGAGCTGTTTAAATCCTAAATAGACTCATTTTTATTTATTAAAAAAAAAGCTACTCATACTTTTATGTGGCCTCTATTAAATAATTTTCATCAAGTTGTGCGCTTTTGAAATACTGATGGCGGTTGAGGCCATTACCAATAAATAAAAAATAGAGTTATAGATTGGGAAAACAGCCACGGGGAAAAACTGACTTATTTATTCTGATTTGATTTTACCGCTGGAGAGAAAATTACCTATTCAAAGATGTCCGCTGGAATATTATTCAAGGCAATCTGCATCATATTTCCTCGAGATTCATCATCGTTAATGCAAAGACGTCTCTTTCTTCCTGTTGCTATTGCGACTTTCTTTCGCACGAGGTACCCGGAGGCTCCTCAGGCGGCCGAGGCAAATTATGCAAAGAGGGGCGGGCAAACGTAATTTGTCTTCATTTTACGATCACAAGCCATTTCACTCCGATACTACGAGAGGTAACAGAATGCATGAGGACATTCACATCCACATGCGTGCAAAAGCACCACGGGTCACACTTGAGGATGGAAGGAAGGACTCACATCGGATGTAGGCTCAACTTCGATTTGAAGTAGAGGGTTTGCATCGCTCCTGAAACCAAGAAGAAGCAAATCCATTAGACAACAACGTAAATACAGAAAGCCACTTAATAGTTGGACGCGTTGTTATTTTGCAAAATTGATCAGGTTTGTTCACTTAGATTGGTTATAGTGTTTCTCATATAAATCATTTTGAACACGGCTGCAGATTTTGTTGATTTAATCCATTTTTTCAGTAATATTTTTATATCCAGATTGAAATGGATGGAGTTACTTTTATTCTGTAAAACTGGTGCAAAATTTACTGACTGCATTTAGTTCTCAATTACACACGGTTATTTTACGGCGTGAACTTTAAATCGCACGTGTGACTTGAGCCCCCATTAATTTCTGACCCCGGCGCGCACGCGTCTGCCCACGCCTCCACGGGCGCCATCGACGCGACGCAAACGCAACTCCACTTCACCCTCCCTCCCCTCGGCCCCTCGGCCCACCTCTCGCAACCTCTTCTGTGGTCACATCAACGCATCGCGGAGCGATCCGGGGACTACGCGTGAGGCGGTGCATAAAATGACGCGGGCCGTCATTTTGTGGGGGGGGGGGCCACTTCCAGCGGCTCCGTCTCCGCTCTAATGAGGGGCGCCTGCCGGGTGAGATGGGCCCTCGTTAACCCTCGGGGTGAGGCCATTAAGGGCCAAAGGAACCTACCAGCTGCCACTGCAGGAGCACACAAAGATGTGGGGGGGAAGGAGGGACGATGGATTTAATTAAATCAGAGGAATGTGGGTTTCATAACGGCGATAATGTATTCGCAGCGGCCAAAGGGCAGCCGGAGGAACGAGGGAGCGAGGGAGTGAGAAATGGGGAAATTGTCCATTTAGAGAAATAGTAATGAGCTGAAACTCAGTCACAGTACGGTGGAAGATATTTGTTCATGATCTTATTTACATGTTTACCACAGCGTGAGAGTCTTTGTGAAGATATGTAGACTGGTCCTAGTGGGGGCATGTCGCCACTGGCTATATTTATTTACCGGTACTGTTAAAAAAAAAGGCTTTTTTATAGGATGAAAATATCTACAAATCAGTGTGTGGAATTCTTTACAGTTTCACGACCACCAGGATACCCCAGTTCATCCCTGACAGGCGAAAGGATTTATACCAAAGAAAAAGACCCACGAGTGAATTCAAGCCTTTAGATGTCTGACTGGAATTTACCTGTAAACACAAAACATATGTTACGAGCAGAAAGCGAAACGCTGCTCCACAGCGACGGAACCAGAGGGAAGGTGATTCTCAACCCCCCCCCTACCCTACCCTTTCTGCCCCAGGAAATGATTGCCTAATCAATAACCTGGCATTCACAGCCGCACGACTTATCCAATATCTGTGGGGGACTTGAAGAAAAACATTTTTTATGGATTCTTTGCCCCTTTGATGAAAATGTCTGTTACTTTCTGGTCCCTTTGGGATGCAGAGCTACAAAATAAATGAAGAAAACAACAGTGCATATCGACTAATTATCACCCCGTGTCATAGGTAATTGATTTAACACTCACTATCGACTTGTTTTGCGAGTCCGGGCCCGACGATGTGTCAGCTCATAGACTGTTTCGTTCAATGGCGTTTTTCAGACGCTAAAACCTTGTTCCATAGATCCCAAAAGGTATTTAAATGAACGACTTCCTTAAAGGGGACATATCGTGAAAACGTTTTCCACCATTCCACAAGCTGCTAATGCACAAATTTCAATATATATATATCCAGATGGATCGCATGAGACAAATACGCTTTTTTCAACATTTGACCCTGGAGATCAATTTAACAGATGGTCCATTTGAATAAAAGCAAGAAATGGAAATAAACTTGATGATCAACAATGACAGTGTTAAGGGTTAAACACCAAGGAAACAATAACTATTTAAAACACAGAATACACACGAAATCTGCCCAACAATGCAACCAAAGATCAAGGTTTGATTTCTTAAAAAACAAACCTGCAGTGAATTCAGAAGAGAGTTCCAAACGGTGCAGAATAGAGAGAGAGAATAGTAGACAACCCTTTGCGTAGGGACCTGTCAATCCTAATGTAGCCCCGCCCTGAACATACCCTGCTTTATCATGTGTTCTATTTAACAATGTAAATGGACTCATGTTCTCAGCGTGCACTGTGGCGATAAATCAAAGGAGAAACAGGGACATTTCCTCGTTGATTTGTGCTTCTTCTCAGTGACGGTTGCCGTCTTGATAGAACCGACCCTCGTGGTAAAAAACGAGGTGAAGACCTTCAGAGGTCGCCCGGTACTTATTTAACTCCTCCTCGATCATTACCCCCTCAAGGTGTGTATATATATCCACATTTATACGTTTTATTTTCTCACTCCAATGGTGGCACATGCTTGTCTAATCACCCCCACATGGGTGACGGTGGCCTTTATGACACACTGTGTCTCATTCGCATATAATCTGAGCGCATAGAAAATGTTCTGACATCACAGTGATTATGTAAATGAATGTTAGCGAGATCTAAACCAACTCCCCTCTGTTCCAACACATATTGAGCCCACTAGGATTTTTGCATGACATAATCTAGTGTCCTATATTTTCTTTGGATTCTCATTATTTCCAGATGTTGCTTTTGATTATTATTTTTTTTTTATCTCAAAGCTGGCAGTTAGAGCCCCACGTCCTTTGCCATAATTTAAAATATACACCATCAGCCTTTCTCTCTCTAAGACCATTTCACAACCAGGTTGAAGTATATTTAGTAACATTATTTGCTGTCGATAAAATCAATAAAAGAAACATGGCCATTGCCATCCGCCTATAGATAAAGGTTCTCTTGCCCTGTTTCTTATGATAGATTGAGATCCTGATCTAATTGTGTGTCCACTGGCTTCCTCAAAGAGCCACTGGAGATGCAGCTGGCATCCCAAGCGTAGCGTGAACTGAAGGCCATGCTAACATTAGCCTCCGAGTATTCCTCATGTTGGCTCTCGCATTGAAATTGTCACCCAAATATCTGCGCTCCAATAAGTTTGACTTGGCCCCCCCTGACCAGCGGCCACGGCGAGGAGGAGACGAGGACGGAGGACGCTGGGGAGCGCGTCGACGAGAGGAGGATGGCGGAGAGGGACCGGTGACCGTCAAGAGAGAACGTCTCTGATGGGAGAACGGGGGTTTTCCGTTGAATTGCTTCTGTAAGAAGAAGCTGCTCACCCTGGTTCAGAGAGGACCGGGTGCAGGATGACCTGCGGCGCTCGGCTCGGAGGGGCCTCTGGAGCGACATCTGAGGAGAAAAATAATGAAAATCAGGGGTAGGCAGAGCATTTATACCAATTAATAATATATATAATAATGTTAATAATGTTAATTCAGCAAGCGGTCGTGTTTCACCACGTTGTTACGCAGCACGTGAAGGCAGCGGCGTTTATTCAGCCGGTTAAAACAGACAGACAGCGTGTGTGTGTGTGTGTGTGTGTGTGTGTGTGTGTCTGCGTGTGCGCGCTACAATCGTGCAACCACTCCAGGTTGCTTCGGCCTTTAATGAGCCGGCAAATGAGCAAAGCCGGCGCGGTACCAGCGGGGAGGTTTGGCCGTGGACTAATGATTAGGAGGCCCGAGTGAGACGAGCACGCAGTGGGCGGAGGGTCTCCGGAGGGGTGGAGGGGGAGGGGGGGGCATCACCGACATCAAAGGAGCCCCTCTCCTCCACGCGTTTTCTCGAGCTGGTTTGTGGGGCCTTGTGGGTAACGGCAATGATCAATTATGAAGTACTTACCAGGAAAGATGAACTGCTGTTTGTATTTGAAATAACTGGAGGCTGCGGAGAGAAACAAACGGAGGGCTGGGGTTTGATCTGAAGTCTCGGCGAGATGACAACCCGACGCACTTCTTCGTTAATTCGGTGATCACACGCAAAGTGGTCACGTTTGTCTTTAACAAGTTTAAAGTTAACACAAAGGTTGGTTCTCAAATATGAATATCTGCTGAACATCAGTCTTTTACGATCCCTGTTCTCTCCCTCTATGAAGTAATTTATTCATATTTTCAGAATAAATTTGGCTGCTCAGAAATAATAAAGAAAATAACAGATCATTCACAATTTGTTATACCTATTTGCAAAACATATACTACGAAGAAAAGCTCCAAACTTAATGATACGTAGCTAATTTTCAATCAAATTCTTCTATTTTACCCGCAACTTTATTTTGGAGGATTTCCCACATTGGACACGTTGACATGCTCGTAGGGTTCAGGCACATTCAGGTGCCCATTCTGGTACCTGTCAAGTTGAACTGCTTCTGTTGCCGCGCCGACTGCGGGGAGGGATGCAGCGGCGAGGGGGGCGTGGCACTGCTGGGCAGAGGGGGAGCCGGGGAGGACGGGGTGGAGGAGGTGGTGGAGGAGGGGTTGCTGCTGGAGTCCGGTTGATAAGGAGCCGGGATGTGATCCTGGGAAGAGACGGAAACAAAAAGCTTTGCAACTTTTTAGCACAAAAAAAAAAACCCTGCTCTCTTCCTACTGTTCCTCTCTCGGAAACTTCTCAGAAGTTTCTGGATTGATTTCCTACCTTCCAGGCAGCACTTTCATTATTTTCAGCACAATATGAAAATCAACTTGCAGGGATGTGAAACCAGCCCGACGGAGGTGATCCATCACAATGAGCAATATGCTGCCTTTACTTTTCTGTCAGTTTATGTTCAGTACAAAGGACAAAACTCCCCTCAGTGGAGCATGCGAGGGAGCTCCAACATCCGGAAACACGGTTGGCGAAAATTAAATCCGGAAAGCTGCTTTTCATGCTCTCTCATCACGTTGCGTAGTGTTTGACTCCTCAATTAGCTGACTTTGCCTTTCTAAAGCTGTTCACTTCAACCAATCTGATCCCGCTGTGACCTTTGCTAATTAATTTTCGTCAAATCTGTGGGAACGTAAAAAAAAAAAAAGAAAGTTCTTCTCTCGTCAAGCTACAATTTGCCGTCTCCGGCCTTTGATGCAGAGCACTGACGGAATAAACTCAAAATGTGTAGTCCAATTAGCTGCTGGTGACTATCTCCTTCTGTTCCTCCCGCCGCAGACGTACGAGCAGCGAGAGCAGAGATGTTCGGCCCCAAACCGGCATCACAAGGCCTGAGTGTTTTTTTCTTCTTAATAACGTCAAAATAAAAGCGGTAGAGCACAATTTTACTTTTCATTATTTCATTTTGCCGCCTTGACCCAACAAATCTTTTCACAGCATTAACCAGGTAGAATAATGCATTTCTGAATGCAGAAAATGTATTTCTGGTTCAGCAAACATCGACATTCTGTCAAACGCTGTACAGAAATGGAATCATGTATAAAAAGATTGTTTTCTTTCAGCATTGTTTACATGATCCGGCTTAAGATATGGTTTCACACACACACACACACACACACATTTGTTTGTTTTGTTTTTTTCCTCAGGAAATGAGGAATTGTTAGGATGGCGACTGCAAAGTATTCCTTGTATGAAAACAAATCCATCTGTGTACACATCAATATTGCCGAAGATATTCTTGTGCGGTTTCATGATTCCCTGAGAAAGACGCAATGACTCACAACTGTTTTCCGGCCCCCCAAAAATAGAAGAAATGCGATCTGCAGCACGGGTTCCGCACGGAATGCAATAAAGCGGTTTCATCTTTGCACTGACCTTGTTGATTTTGTTGGTTTTGGGGAGCGTCTGACTGATGTGCAGGTCTGAGTACCTGAGCGGGTTGTTGATGTCACATGGCACCGATTCGGTCCGCACCAGACGAGCTACTGCAGAGATAAAAGCGCAATGACGCACTCCGCGCTACCGACATCGGAATAAATAACCAAACGCCTTTTCTGTGACACCATCCGTTTATAATCGCGCACAGACAGAAAAAAATGCCCCTTAAGCAAAGTGAGTCATTAAGAAACGGTCACTTTGTCACACTGAAGGAGGGAAGAAGACGTCTGACTGGTGTAAAGTACCTTGAGTTGTTCCTTGTTGATCTTATTCGAGGGAGATAAAAAGGCAGAGAAAGAACAAATTAACAACTCAATTCTTATAAAAAGACAGCCGAGCAGATTCAGTGCTGTTTTTACTGACACTTGTCAACCTGGCAACGTGCTGAATGCATAACTTTGTAAATGTTAACTGAAAATTCACTTTGCTTTCTTTCAGAAAAGATTGATTTGTGAACCATTCCACCCTTCATCGAACTCCTCGTAAGAAGAATTATGAAAATGCACGACAATACCTTTGAAGGATTCCCGTCCGCCTCGCTGGATGATCAATAAATGGCAAGGTGGAGCTTCTTTGGTGCATTTGTTGTGGCACTTCAGCCTGAGTGCAAACAAGAAAGACAGTTTGATTAGAAGTTTGTTCCGTTGTTATCGTTTGAATTCATTAACACGGCGACAAGAGATGCTAATTGCCAATTGATGTGTGTGACATCTAAGATTAACAAGAAAAACCGAACAAATCAGACAGAAATCACTACCAATGATGCAAGAAATGTGTCTTACTTGCAGTTTTTACATTTCAGTCCAAACAGCATTCCCTTCCCACATACTGTGCATGTCTGGGACATCCAATACTTTGTGGAAAACCTGCAGGCAAAAGAGGAGAGTGTGACAGGGACATTTGAAAAAGGGAAATCAGGACATCACTTTCAGCTCGTTGCACATCTCTGCGACACATAAGAGCCGTGGATCACCGTGAGGAGGAACACGGCTTCTGACCTTTTACAATTTTGTAACATTCCCTCGTTTTTTTTCTGGATGGGGGGGGCGAAAAAAGGCTCCACGTTGCCTGCGTAACCTTTGATAATAGACGCCTGAAGAAGCTACTTCTGTAAAAGCGCTCACTCACCTTCCTAATCTCCTTCGGGAGCAAGTGAACATCTGCAGGACCGGAGGAAGGGGAGGGGGGGGGGGGGGGCATGGGGTTTAACATCAATGGAACAATCTGCAGGCTGCCGCGTGCTTCTGCGTCGTGTCGGCGCACTCGTTTCCATTCATGCTTCTAAAAGTCTTGCGTGTGTTGCAGAGCGAATCACCTCCAGAACAACAGGCGGAGTGACGGGTTTCTGTCGAAGACGACCTGGAGAGTCACGTCTGTGTGTGCGGAAGTCGTTGCTTTGTTTATTTATGTATCATAGACTTTATTGCCCCCGTGCAATCGCCACTGCTGCTTTTCATCGCGGACACATTTGTCCCGTATTTTCCTCCACAACTCTGTTCCCCTCGACCGGCAAACCGGCGTTTGCAGCGATCTCCCTCCGTGAATCAGAGGCCACCCGCGCCTCCTCATAGTCCGCCAATGACGGCTTGGATAAGTGGTCATATTTAGCAAGGAGGTGTGAAAAGGCACGTAAGGGACACGCAAGGGACACGCAAGGGGCTCTTGCGTCGGCGTTTCCTCGCGTCGCTCTGAAAACGCAGAAGCATAAACTAGGCTTAATTCCTCACACGGACAAAGCCTCCAATTCCTGAGCCAGCACGCATGTGACTTCTCGGCGCCCGCTTTGACGCTAATGGCGGCAGACTAATGCAGTTTGACAGAATGCGAATCTCTTCATTGGGCCTCCTTGGCCCCAATTGAGAGGCGAAACTCAATCAAGCCCCTGACGGATTTATGGATTCTGCTGTCAAATTTGCTAAATTGCCGGCAGATTCTGCACGGAGAAACGTCCTTTCATCACAGCGGAGGCTGCGGCAGCCAAAATGGCGCATTGTGTGGCGGCGGCGCAAATGCACTTATCGTAGCAGGCGGACAATGCGGTGGAGAAAAAATGAATTGGCGCGTCAAGGAGATTGCCGGACGGAATAATGGCCGTTTCTCTCAAAAACCTTAATCTTACAATAACAGCTCTGTCATTTACATTTGCGCTCCGTTTGTCTGCGTCTTTCTTAAGCTCCTCCTTCGGCCTCGAGGCCCACGTTCTGCACGTTGCTCGGATCCCACAGCCGACGCGCTATTGATTTACTTTTCAGATCCCCGGCGTTTGGAGTCAAGCCGGGTGAGAGAAAAGGAGGCGGAAGGACGGTGAGGGTTGAAATGAGTTATGCAAGAGGCCCTTTCTTTTGGTTTTAATTGGAACGACATTCCATCACAGAGGTGCGAATGTATGCAGGGAAACTCACCCACGCGCTCTCCTTACCTGTGTTTTATTGAGTTTCCCAGATCTCTGCGGGGAATCTGTGGGGACCAGCGAGGCACTGAGAGAGTGTCTGGGGAGGAAGAGACAGGGGAGAGGGGAGGGTTGTTACCTTTTGGTAACACGGACGAAATGTCTTTCGAAAAAGGTTTGAGCGGTCTGGTCGCCTTTATTCCAATCGTGAAGAACTCTGGCTTCAAAATGTTTTCACAATAAAAGCCTTTCGCTTGGTGCGTCAGTGCATCGGGAGATATTTATGCGCCGGGTAGGAACGCCGGCGTTGCCTGTGATGGATGTGCATTGGAATGACAGTGACACGCTGGCAGTGATTACATAACAAAATGCTGACAAAACAAGAGGTTATATCGCAACGGCCAACAAGATCGTTTTCGTTCACGGTGTTTTATTTTGATATCTGCGAAAGGTCGACCACCGGCGGTTTGGGTTTGTTAAGGCGGCTAATGTAGCTAATTAAGCATCGTTGTGTACAATTGGTAGACTTGTCCTCAGTTAGGTAGTTAGCCTCGTATTTTAAGAATAAACAGGTTTTACGCAAACAGGGTAAATATGCAGTCGGCAATATTCATAAGCAAACACACAAACACAAACGTCCAGAAGCATCTTCTGCATCTTCTTAGCTAAGAGGAAATTGTGTTGAGTAGTTTTCTGTCTTCCTTTTATGTAAAGTTATTCATGAGTTTTATGTTACTTTTAAGATGCAAATGAAGGTGAAGAAGAGGGGAATAGAGGTCAGGGGAGATGTTTGTTAGCCGGTAGCTGGAGGCAACAGACAATACATTAAACTGGGAAATTGCGAGAATGAAGACAGAAAAACAGAAAAACAAATGCCTAAAAGTTCAAATGCTTTGAGATGGAATTGCGGGCCGAAAGGTTCCACGCAATTAGGCCCGAGAGGACCCAGAGATTTCAGTGGCTTTCCAGCTGAAAATATGCCGCCCAAAAGAATTGATCATCTCACACTTCATCGTCTTCATGAGCTCTTATGTCTTTTTGTCTGAAAGATCAAGATCGGCCGTTATTTAGCTTTGCTTTGCATTACGTGTCTCACATAAGACGATACTTGCAAAACCACCGACTAAAGATTGAAACCAGTCAAATCCGTTCATTTTCCAAGGCTTCACATCCGGGGCGGGACTCAATCAATCCGATTAATTAATTAATCGAGTCGTCGGCCTGTAGCATCTCTTGGTTCCCGAAACACTCCTCCTCCTCTTCCTCCTCCTCCTCCTCCCCCCGCTTCCCTCTGCGGCCTCTCCAGAGGTTCGCTGTCTCCGCTCCGCACGCCGATGCACCGCTCAATTACACTCAATCAACCCGGTAACTCGATGAAGAGGGGAAACTGACATCATCGGCTTCTCGTTGGCGACTGGCGGCTCGTCGGCGGCGCGGCCCGGGGGGGGGGGGGGGGGTGTGGGGGAGGGCGCCCGTCATCGCTCATGCGTGCGTGTGCTGTTGACGTGGTCGCCTTTGATGACCCCACCATCCCTCAGAGGAACGGGGCAGCGCGGATTCATGTCAGCGAGCGTTCGCGAGGAGTGACTCCACGATGAAAACATCGTGTGCTGCAGAAACGAGAGAGCGTTTGTGTGGTAGTTTTTTTTTTTTTATGTGATAATGGTTTGAATTTGTGTCCTCTGTGGTCCAACGCACCATTACAAAACTTACTACCGATTTACTGTTTGTTCTGCTTTCAGATTTCATTTTATTCTGCAGCTGTTTGTCGAGTACATTTTGTCATCATTGGTTAAAATCCACCGTTGTGGATTCAGAGCATTTGATATGTAACACAAAAAAATACCTTTAAATATCCATTTTAGAGAAAGTGGGCAGTGTAGAAGCCTCTGGGTTTATTGAGAAGTAAAATGATGAACACAATTGAATCAAGCTATTAATCTGCTTTGGTGTACCGGTGTTTTGTTTGAGTTCTAAGATGATATGGTTTTAATGTAATTTGATATGCTTTATGACCATCCTTTAATGTCTCTGCGGTATCTCAGTCCGCCATTACTTGCTCATGCTCGTCATCCAGCGGAATTCTATCTCATTGGAATCAGCTTCCTTCCGTACGTGCAGTTTTATTGAGCTGCCGCCTGCTTCTGTTGCTTCACGTTAAAGCCGAAGCATTACAAAACTTCTGATTGGATTTAATTGTGAAGCGTTCACGCGCAAATTGTCCCAGTCGTTCACTTGAAAAACAAGACAATTGTCATTTCGGCGTGTTGAATATTTGCGAGCGGCTGATGGAAGACGAAGGAGGCGGCACGGAGAGCTGTTAGATGGAGCGCTGCAGGCGACTCCGAGCGCTCAGCAAGGTAAACAACTTTCCGCCGATTGTCTTTCCGCAGTGTAGAAAAGTACTCGGGGCATGCGCAGCATGCGACCTGGTGGAGGTTGCAATTATTTTTGACTGACGTCCTTTACTGAAACAATGGGAGCGCCTGGTTGCACGGATACAGAACCAAGTGTTTCATTGGAGTGAGGCGTTCGGTGTTTGGGGATTGTTCTGGATGTGGATGATTTAGATCCATAAATACATCAAAAATGCTCTATTTTACCAAGCATCCAAAAACACCTCAACATCTTCAGCGTACATGAAGCAACTCCACCATATCATTCTAATCTCTGCCAGGTCAATAAAGTACACAAGCCCACACAGATGTACAGATATCGAGACACATAAACAAGACCTCAAACTGGAACCTACCAGGGCAAACTAGGGTATCTAGTTTCTAAGTATATGTTTGCATGTGTGTGTGTGTGTGTGTGTGTGTTTGAGACAGATGAGCCTGCAGGAGCTGAGGAGCCCCGAGGCGCCAGACAACAGTGTCCTCCTCCATCTTCTCTCGATGGCCTCGGCCTAATTAAGCACAGCCCCTCCTTCCCCCTCCTCCACTGGCCAGTCGCATGACACACACCAGACTAAGGGGTTGAATTAGTGTGTGTGTGTGTGTGTGTGTCTGTGTGTGTGGGGGGAGAGAATTGTAAAGAGAGAATTGTAACTACACAAAAAGCTGAAGAGATGTCGGTTCCTGTCAGTGTAAACAAGAGGAGGGCGGGTGAGCTAGAGAAGAGACAACTTGAGTCCAATAAACTAGTTTATTTAACGCACAAGGGGAAAAAAATGTGCCGTGTCTGCACAGTGAATAAGTCACCGCCTCTCATCATCGAGAATAACTTCAGAGTCATCGAGGTGCTGCAGCTCAACGGGCGATATGGTGGCAAATCTGCATGCTTCAATCAAAATGATGGACCGCACGACACAGAATTGCAGTAAAAAGGAATAACTGCAATGGAGATAATTAGTGGGTTGGGAAGAAAATTCCGAACACGCGAACGCAACACGCCGATGAGAAGCTGAAGCCTGTTGGACGAGACGCGACTCTGGTGTTACGCAATTAGCGGTTCACTGTGCAGCAGCAGCAGCAGCAGCAGAAGTGAGCAGGACTGTATGAAGCGAGTGGGCGTTCGCTGCACAATGTGCTGCATTATAGCACATGAGTGTTAAAAGGAGCAATATTTGACGGGCTGTTGCTCACCACATCCCCATGCGTTCCCACCCAGGCCTCTCCAATGAGACCCTTCCACAAGGTGAAAGTGCACAACTGAACTGAAGTTTTTGTTGGCGGCGGCGGCGGTAAGAAATGATCCAAGAGACGGGTGCAAATAGACTCGCCTTTTTCTTTCTGTCTGAATGTGAGAGAAAAGAAGAAAAAAAAAAAAATACACGGATGAACAAGAGACAAAGCCAGGTTGCTCAGTTGCTATGGCAACAGCTACACGCCGAGTAGCCTCTTTGCAGAATACCGTGCTGCCATCTTTGACGGCCACGGGAACACACACACACACACACACACACGTTCACATACAATCCATACGCACACACACAAAAAGCCTGCAATAAACTGACGACGGTGTCTTTGCACACGGCTTTTCCGACAGCATCTCTTAAGACTGGCTGTGTGGTCGTTGCCAGTGAAGCCGAGGGAGGAGGGATGGGAGAACAGATGATGCCAGGAGGCCTTTTGGCTCCGTAGTGACTTCCTCGGTCGGAGCAGTCAAATGGCTCGGAGCCGATTGACAGCAGGTTCTTCTGGGTGAAGCCGATCTGAGGCCACGCAGCAAATGCGGGTGACGTCATGCGCACGCGCCCCGCTGGAGGTCAACCCGGGGTGTCTAAAAGTCCTCGGACAAAGCACATTCCCAAACAAGTTCATAGGCTTTTTGTAAATGCACAAATGCGCTGTCGTTATCTGGGCTCCTTCTCAGAAAAAAACAATCCACAAACACCTATTAGTGAGACTTTTCTTAGGCCTACTAAGGACTACTAACGTTGACTTAGTTTCAAAAGGTGAGAATCGTCTTTTCTACTCCGCCTTTGTGTCACAAAGACAGAAAACACGTGATTAAAAATGTCTGTTTTTGTTATGCATTGAAAACCCGCCAGCGTGCACTCTCTCCCTCTCCCTCAAAACGATAAAGCCGAAATCTTTAATGAAATGCTGAATCGACTCAACCTCAATTATACAGCTCAGTCATCTCTTTAACCCTGTGATACATTTAGCCGTTATTTGTAGACCATTGTATGTTTGTCGACTCCCAAAGGGACCTCCATTGTGGTGCCACACTGGGTTGCTATGGAGATCTGTGACGCAACTGCAGAGCGTCCGTGCGAGGTAAGAGCGAGTGGGGGGGGGGGACGTCGTCACAAATAAACACAGTGAGTTGTGTGCAAAACATTTAAGCCGTTAATAACCACGAGCGCACGCTCACAGACTCTACACTCTCTCCCTGTGCATCTCACACATACACAGACACACACAGGGGGGCCGGTGCTGGACCTGCAGCTAGAGGCCGGTGGGGTGTGTGGCTCCTTTAATGCGTTTGCAGGAGGTGAGCTGTCCGGGGAATATGTACCTGTGTGGCCTCTAACGGGATGAAGGGTGACGTATCGAAACACCCGGAGCTAAAGAACTGAAGTGTGTGCGCGGTGTTCAAGCGGGCCGTGGCGGTCAAAAGCAACAACGGCAGGACGCTCGTTGCCCGGCGAAAACTTGAATTGGACCTCCGTGAAGTCGACGCCACGGCCAAAGTTTGCATCGCGCTGCTTCTCATATTTTATTAGCACTATTATTGTGAAAGCGGTACAAGAAACAATAAAGTGCTTCCTTTTTGGTCTCTTCTCACTTTTGGGGCCTGAAAATGATCAATGATCGGTATGTCGGGTCAGAGGTCAGATATCTGTCCGATATTCTATTGTTTAATTCTATGTTGTTATTTAACCACACAAGACATTCTTCTAAAATCCCCTTTTCACTCGCGTGGACTGAAAGTGAGCGTCCGGCCCCGTCGGTCTCGTCGTGCCGTCCGATGTGCGAAAGAGAGGCTCTCATTCGCAGGTCATCGATAGAGATGTTGGCGCTCCGACACAGACGGAGGACGCAGCGTGTCCGTGTTATCTCTGCCGTGATGTGAGAAAATAACAACACGGATGACAAATCCGTCCGGCGGGGAAACGCTCCCGCTCGTACACGTCTAGTTACGTGTTATGAAATAATAAAACAACACCGGGGATTAATAGTCAACTCGCAATATATTATTCCTGAATTAAATCAGATCATGTAATGCTACTTGTTGCTGGAATTAAGACATTTTTGCACTTTTTTTTTTTAGGGGAGAAGTTGTTAAAGTTAAAGCTGATTCTGATGTTTTGCTCCTGTCGGAGAGCGCACGCCAAGCCCCCGCAAACGACACGAGGGATACGTGACGCTCCATCCAAACACGCTCCTCGGACTCTCTGCAATGACCGACTGAGCCGGCAAAGGCCGCGTGAATCTCTAATGCTATCCGACCGTTAGCAAACTGGCACGGAGACGCTGACGCTCCGGCACTGACTCATCCGGAGAGGACAGCGCTCGGTCACCTCGGGCCGTCAGTTTCGATTCAGGCGACTGGAGCGGTGAGCGACGCTCCGGCCCGGCTGCAGGGCCCCTGACGTACGACCATTCCATCATCCCAAACATCGACCGCGGGTTTAGCTGTGGCCTGTGACATCGCTTACATGCGGACAGACACAAGAAGGTGCACGCGAGCAGATCGTCTGGAGGAATAATAGATGTTTGATAGAAAAAGGGGTGCATGTGCATCTCTATCAGTGTGGCTGCAAGGGGACCTAAAGATTGAGGCCCAAAGAAAGATAGCAAGTTAAATACTGAAGTCAGTAATTAAAGCAGCTTTTAGAAAATGTGCAGTTAATTAAACATAGAAAAATTAAATAAACCGTATCTTTCTAACTTTCCCGGTGCAGCTGAAGTTAAAAGAAGAGTCCGACACATGGATCGCGCTCGCATGAACACAACGTACATCTAACAAATGCAGACGAGCGGCTACTCTGAAGGACGAAACTTGCACGTCGCCGTCGGCGCTCGCAAAGTCAACGTCACAAGCAGACGCAAAGAACTCGATGGTCCAACTTGTACGTTGGACCATCGAAGGACGCGGGGCGATGAAGCAGTCCGAGTCTGCAGACCTGAGAGTATTATTTACAGCTTTGCTGCTCAAATACCTTTCAACATGTTCTTCATCTGTTCTTTCCTTAAACGACATCCTGCATAGTCCATGCATGCTGCTTAACCTTTGACCTACCTTTTTTTTTTATTTTATTCATGCTGTTGCTGTTAACACACATTAGCGCGGGAGACCAAAGTCTTCTGGTCTGCGTCCGATGCGCGTTTATTCCCCGTCATGCCTCTACCGACAACTCTGCAGCTATTCATGACCCTGAAGCGGTGAACATCCATCACCCCTTTCCTCCACTGAACCTCCGTCACCGCGCATCTGCTCCTCGGCCTCGTGGCTTCCGCGGTATTCCCTTAATGCATCAGCCCGATTAGGCCGCCGATGTGCAGCGACACGCCACCTCCGGTCATTACGCACATCCTGATTATTCGTTTGGGCCCAAGTGTATTCTCAACAAAAGACTGATGGTCCTCAGAGCGATTCCGCGTCCGGGATCTTGTGTCTCTTTTGTTTAAGGCAGAAGACGGATATTAGAATGTGACTCGAGACTACTTTCGGTTTAAAAATCAACCTCGGCGCCGTTTCGTGGACTTTTTGGACTCAATCTAGCCGAGGGCAGAACGTCACCTCGGATATGAGATATTGCCTGGGAACGAGATACGCGGTCCGCGGCGGACTCGAATATGAGGGATATTAAAGGTATTAAAATCCTCCTGAAACTCTCGCGTCGCCAAAGCCAGGGAGCGCGAGCGGATTGAACAAAAGGAGCGTTCTCTCACTTGCAGAGGGCGTTTCGGCGTGGACCGGAGGCGTGGACGGGATGAAGGTCGGGAAGAAGAAGGAGCGCAGCGAGCGCTCGGAGTGGAGGGGCGAGCGCTGCGTGGGCAGATTCTCACAGCTGCCCACGCTGCTGTGGATCTTAAGGTTCAGGGGCTTGGTCTTCTTCTTGGCTCTGTGGGGAAACAACACAGCAAAGGACAAACAATTAGATTGGCAGGAGCGGCGCGCACACACACACGCACACACACACGTGGCTGGTTTAATCAAGGTTTTTGGATTGCCGTGCCATTTTGTGTGCGTGTTGCTGTCTCGTGGGGAAGTATTCGCTGAATCGAAGAGCACTTTAGGGGAAATAGTTTGCCCCTCGGGGGGATGTGCAGCTGTTCTTTCAATTACGAGTGGAAGCAATAGAAACGAATACAGTCGTGTTAAGGTGTTTTCACAACAATATGAAATTAGAGAGATAATTCCGACCTGTAAACATCCAAACACTCGCTCAAAGCAGCTTATAAAACTAGATTTAAACTGCTAATGACAAGAAATAGTCAGACTTTAGATTATGACAAAAAATAACGAGCCTCTATCTTGTGTTTATTTCTGATACTATTTCTAAAACTTGTCAGAACATGATGTTTTGTTTACATGCAAAGAAGAACAGGCGTCTTCTCAGCGTCTCTGGCCTCAAACGCCACGGACAGAAATGCAGGTCTGAATGTCGGAACTCTACAACGGTGACCGATATTATTTCGACTATTTCAGCTTCTTTTCACCACTTAAAACGTTCACGTCAACCATCCGAGAGAGAGCCCATCTATCATAAAAGTGACTTTCAAAAGTGAAATAAGTACTATAAAAAGTATGCGTGGTCGGACTTTTCAGTCAAAGTAACACTCATTGAGTGTTGGAATCCCACAGGACGTTTCCCTCCCGTGTCGGTCCCTCGCTCCCCAAACCGAGTCACGCAATTAGACCTGCAAAACCGGCGAGAGCTTCGCTCGGCGCTTCTCCGTCAGGTCGCTACTGTCAGCCGCTCCGATCAGCCCACTTATTACGCAATTTGAAGCTGAATCAAACTGGTCCGTCTCCGCGTGTGTTCCCACTGATCCGGTTTACTAGAGGAAATCACTGTGAGTGTCTGTGTGACATTTCCAGGTGGCGTTTGAGTCACCGAACCCCCCGGGGGGCCTTTTCCGACCAAGCAAACAGGAACACCAGAGTTATTTCTCAAAGTAGGATTCAGACGCTTCCTCTTGACATTTAGCAGTAATTAAATTACCTATTGTGTCACGCTTATTAAACTGTGATTTGTTGATTTCTTCTTCTTCTCATATTGTTTTTTCGCGGTTCAACATGTGGAATTGTCCTCGTCGGAATTACATTCTATTCTATTCCCAAAATATGCGAAGGAGCTGGAATAATTTAAGGCTCATGATATTTAAATTGGAAGTGTCTCTAAACCACGTTTTCAATTTGACTTTTCCAGATTAAGGTCACAATTCGATTTCCGAAAGAAACTCCAGCACTGGCGGCTAAGCTAATGCTAACACGTTGCTCCTTTGTGTGGACGGATGCTGCATGACAGTTCAGTTCAACTCCTGCTCCCACAAGAGGAGGATGCACAAAGTTACACCAACCGGTGGATAAGTTGGTGTAATTACATAATCAATTATTATTGAATTGGTGGTTTGGCTTCAAAATCGTGCTAAAATTACATATCTGCTTTTATTATTAGCATTCATGGGACGGGATGGCTGCTATATCGTGTCTAAATCTTTTAGATGATAGGAAAAGCCCAAATGTTGCACTACCGGGGATTTTGGCAAAGAATGAGAGAAGAAACGTCGAAGGTCTAAAGCCGAAGCTCATTTTGATCAATTTTTGATGTAGAATCTCAATTGCGCCGCCACTATTGCAACCGACAAGTTGAGCTTTTCACTGCACAATATGCAAGCAAGGGTAAGAAACACTGACATGCATCCCCCCCCCCCCACACCCTCACATCAATGCCCCCCACTCGCAGAGACGTTAATTACAGGTTCACCTTCATGCAAAAGTTTCATCAAGGACAGCGAGCAGCGATACTTCAAATGGCATATTTCCCTGGCATATCAGGAGGGCTGTAAAAAGGCCGGGTCGTGCATATTGCACAGCTCTCCGTCTACCAGCTACGAGCAGCTCATCCAAATGGGCAAAATGTTGTTCGAGCCGCCGTAATCAGAGTAATAACGCCCGTGATTCTGTCCGCCGGTCCTCGGCGGTACGCAGAGAGCTCCGTCGAGATCCGCGCGGCGGGAAAAGCGCCCCGTCTGCGGCAGCCGACGCTCCACGCCGCTTTAATAGAGTTGGTGGAAAGTGGAATAAAGGCGGCTGGAATAATCATTACACCAGAGAATCACTGTGAGCCCTGTGAGCGGTTTCATCCCGAGCAGCTTGTCGCGTCGAGTGAAAGCTTTTGATTTCCTCCGGCTGTGCAGGGAAGTCAGAGCGAAACACAAGGAGAAGCGCAACCAGCCACACAATGCGCTTTGTTACAAAACTCTTTATATTCCAAAAGTGTATGTTCACCTTCATTCATTCATCTAAACTCTCCCGCTGATGTATTAAGTGTCTAGTTGGAGTAGTTCCGTTCCTTGTCTCTGCTCTCATATGAAGCCATGAGCGATGCTGATGACTTCAGGAGCAGGAAACAGAGGTTTTTGTTTCCCTTCTATAGGATTGTAAAATCAGTCAGACAGCTGTTTCACAACACCCTTAAAGGAATGCAACTTTCAGTCGCAGCTATTGGTAATTAGTCAACATGTGAATGACAAATCAACATCTAATGAAATGAAGATAAAACCGTTAACAGGGTTAAAGTGGTTCATAGTTCATGCAAAACATGAAAACATAGAATTAGTGTTCTAATCAGAAATCAGGAAACATTTATTGCCAAAATATGTCAAACATACAAGGAATTTGTCTTGGCAGTTGGTGCGTGACAGTAGACAGCAGTGCACAAGTAATAAAATAAAATAAAATGGGTTAGTAGAATAAGGCTATGGGTTAGTATAAAACAAGAGAATAAAGTTAGTTAAAAATTTAAAATATAAAAAAATATATATATTTATATATTAAGCATAAAGTGCCGAGTGACGAGTGACGACAAAGTGATAAATGACAGTCTTTTTAATCGAGATGACATATAACTTGCAGGTTTTCCTCGAGGTCAAAGTGAGGACTGTGAATGAGCACGACGCGCTAAAAGAGAAACACCATCGCCCTCCATTCCCGAATTCAACCTTCTCCCAGTACAACTACAGTCCATTCGACTCCGGCTTCAAAGTAGGTGTTTCAAAAGTAAGTTGCAAAGACATCTAAACAGGTCGCAGAGCTCATTTATTCCTCAGCCTGTCAGAGTCAAGTGAGAAGATGGGTTTCCAGTAAGCTGCATTTAGCCAGGAAACTGTTCAATCTCTGCGTGTGTGTCGGACACAGCGTCTTCAGCGACGATTTACACCGACCGACGGAACTATAACGCGCCGCTCTTTGACGTCTCAGGATGTATGTGAAGTGCAATTCAGTCTAAATTAAAGGCAGGCTTTCCTTCCACCGTGACACCACGGATTGAAATGAATTGAAAGCGAATCCGCCGGTGAGAAAGTACAGGGAGCAGAAGTGGAGACAAGGGAGAGAGGTGTTGTCATGGAGACGCAACAAAGAAGTCAGATGGGATTCGGGTCCAATGTTCCATCGGCTGTTTTTGCATTGTGAGTGTAAAATATCCTCATTGTGAATCCGCGAGATGAGACTGCAGTTTTTTGTAAAGCATGTTTTTGTGTTGGCAGGTGAGAAAGCCGACGACGCTGTCCTCCACACCCAGAACCCCCCCCAACCCCCAACCCTCCCCCCCTCCACCAAAACGGGAGAGTTGTTTTTCTCCCAAGTTTTCTTAAAAAAAATTTTCCATTCCTCGAGGACCTGAAATTTATGTAGTGGGGCACCTTTTTCTTTGGGGGCCCCTTTTTTTCCCCCCCAATATTGTCTCCCCCCCCCCCCCCCCCCCCGCCCCCACCTGGCGGTCACTTCTTGTTTCCCGGAGACGTCCCGCGGCTCCGTGCAGTCGGTATTTAGCTGATGGCTCGGCTCCGGGCTGCGAGGCAACGGTCCCTCGCAGATGAAATGCGACAAGCTGCGAACGTCGTGCAGATCGATGATGAAATGTTCTTGGCGTGCAGCTTTTGGGTGTATTCCACCGTTCAGAAGCTGCCTTTTGAGCATCCGTTTCAGAGCGTGCGTCATTTGCCGCTGTTTGGAAATGATCCGGGGGGGAAAGGAATAAAGAACCATTCATCTGTGAGGGTTGAAAATAGCAACAGTTGTTCCGAGCTACTTTGATATTGTGTGCAGAACAAAAAACATTTTATATTAATGGCACATTTCCTTATTGTAAAGACGCACAGAGATCTGCGTGAGTGGTCAGCATGTGAATTGAAGTTAAATTATAATTTGAAGGTTTTTTTTGGAAGAGGCAGCGCAGCCATCTGCGTGAGACACTTCATGTGTCAGGTATCAAATAAGCAAATCCCTGAAAGTTTGCGTTGTCACCTGCTCAGTTCCTTTATCACATTTCATATTTTTGTATCCATATTCCCAATAGTCGATCAGTTTGTACAAATAACACCAATGTGAGCCTTCTGTGAGGAGCTGAATAGGCAGTAAGCTACAACAACGGTTTTAACGTGTAGATTACGAACCGTTACACGTTACAAGTTTTGAGACGTTTTGAGACATTTTTTTAAAAAATCGAACACAGCTTTTTTTAAGGAAGCAATCGCCGGTCTGGAGGTGTTATCTTGTTCCAGCTTACTCCTCTCGTCGCTCGCCTCCACACCAGAAAGTCTGTGTGCATTTTCGCCAGCATCAAATTCAATAAGAGTTCATTTCCTGCGCTCGGTCCAAATGAAACCATAGCTCAAACCTTAAACCCTAATCCGAGTATCAAAGGGACGGCGTTGGAAGCGAGACCGGCTCTCTGGCCCACAGCCGCGTGCGTTAAGTGGTGGTTTTGAAGCACAGAAGGCAGAGCAGTAAATGATAGTGTGCCTAAAAAGAAGGAGGCGGGTCGGGGACGATATGGAAGCGGGATTAGATATTATCAGTCATGACTTTTGACGTCAGAGAGAACCGGCGAGA